ATATAAAAGCGAAAAATGAGACAGGGTCACCAAGCATCCTAAAAAAACACCCCAGAAAACATTAGCATTTGAAATGCTGGACTCCCATCTCCCTGTTAGATCACAATAGCTTCTCTGTCTGTACATGTTTAATTGTCTCTGTTAATATGTATGTATAGTACCTCTGTATGTATACATATGTATGATATGTATGTGTGCATATTCATGTATATAAAGATTCATATATACAATCTGTCTCTTCTTTAACCTTCGGATGTTAGAAATGAATCATCCAACAAAAACATTCTTTTTTTTTTTTTTTCCCTAAAAATAGCATCCCAAGAGTTCAGGTAAATGTATTGATTATGAGCAGCCCTCATTTAATCCTAGCATGGATGCAAAGTCCCCTTCACTACACTGTTCTTCCCACTCTAAGACATTTGGGCTCCTGATCTTGGACTCCCCATGACAGCCTTTGCAGTGGTTGCCACAGGGATGGAGCCTGTTTTGGAGGGCACTGCCTCTTTCCTCCACCTCTGCCTAGCAGTCAGGCAGGAGCCAGTGAAGGGGTCATGGGTGCAGATTGGTATCAGGGTATGGTGAAGAGGAGAGTTGAGTCAGAGGGAAAGCAGAACAGAGCAGCATTGGAAAAAAGTTGGTGCAGAGGCATAAAACAGAGAGAGAAATTGCTATAGAAACAAGGAAAAGGCAAGGGAGAAAAACACTGGTTGGAATTTTAATAATATTGATCAGCCTCAGATGCAATAGCTGTAAAGATCTGTCACCTGCAGGGAAAACATCTCCACAGCCTGGCTATAGGTGTACTTGGGCACAGACTCCAGCAGATGGAAGGATAGGATCCTGACTGCAGGTTTGGATGGGCTTGCAAACACACATGCACATGTGTATGTGTGTAAACGGAGCATAAAGGTAAAGATGTCTACAAATGTGGCAGGCACATGAGCAATGTTCAGCACAGGAAAAGAGCACAGGAGGTTGCTGGTTTGGTACTGGAAAAAGTGGTAGCCTTTGAGCTTCTTCAGAGGGAGAAGAAACTCCTTTCCTCCAAGACAGCACATTAAAAGGGATAGAGAAGATGATCCATGGAGACTTCACTAGGAAGGACCAGGGGGAAAGGCACAGTAATAGGAAGAGAAGTAGGAGGTAGTAGATTTCTGTGGTGGAAGAAGTTCAACATGGTAGCCGACCATGATGAAGGCAGTGTTGGACCAATTCTGTGGTCCTGCAAAGACAAAGAGCAATCCTGCAGCTGTAACTGGTTGTACCTGCAAGCTTAGCAGAGGCATTCATATTATGACAGCAGATAGATATTACCTGAGAGGTGTGTGCAAGATGCTACATACACATAGTAGTCCCTATGCTATATGGTGAAGGTCACAGAGCACAGGAGCTGTGTACTTCCAAAGGAGATCATCTGCACTTTCTTAGGTCATAAAGCTTTTAGGAAAAACCTGACCACTTGCTTTCGAAAGTTCGTTGTACATATGGACACAAATCTTGGTCCATGTAACAGCTTGACTTTGCCACACTAACAAGAATAGCCATCCCTCTGACATTGAAGCTGGGCAGTAATTTGCTCAGATGGAGATACCTGCATCTTGAATTCATTAGGACTTCAAGCCATGGTCTCAATATAAGGTTCAAGGGGAATAGTTTCAGGCTTCACTTATATGCTTCAGAGAAGAAGCTGGCTTGGAAGAGCTTTGGCATTTACCAGATGTATTTGGCTATGGTTTACTCCGTGGAGCAACTTATTAATCAGTGTTACCTGCAGCAAAGATACTTTTCTTAATCTATCTTTGTGCACAAACCCTAACTGCTTGGGAAGTATGCTACTTCTTTACCTCTGAGGCACCACTTATGAACTAGGGTGTATATACTTGTCTTCATAACCTTAACGCTTTTACCCACAAATTTACTTCAGCAATACCCAAAGGTTATATCTATTCCCAGAAAAGTGAATTGCTTTCCTTTAACAGATGAGTTTGGCTGGTGTTCAGCCACACAGATGCCTAACTTGCTGTTCAATTTCCAGCCACTGATGAAGCAGTCCTCATAAAATAGGTATCTAACTCCTCTGCCTACTCAACAGAGAAATGCATTTGCCTCTGTAGCCTTCCAGAAGGAAAGTCTGTTTGCCCAAGTTTAAGGCCTGAAAAAGGGATTGTGCACTTGAAATCCTGTTTCATCAAACTCACTTAATCGACCTACATATATTGCTGTTTATTACAAACCTTGCCTAAACTCGGGTACACCAGCTGTGTGGGCAGGATATGTCCCCAGAGACCATAGTAGACTCCTTCTCTCTACTGACTAGGTAGGTGCTGCAGAGCCATGTTTTCAAAGGACTGCTGCATTTAGTGCTTGAAATACAGACGCAAGTGAGGCAGACAGGACGACCACATGCGGCTTTCATGTGAAACTACATTTTCTGTTTTTTTGTTGTTGTTGTTCTTTTAGCTTCAGCAAGTCCTAATCCTTCACCTCTATATATATGTTTGCGTGTATGTACATGTGTCACATCCACAGTGTCTGAGGGTGTGTGCAGAGGACTGGCAGAGGGATGATAGTAACTTCTCCAAAGCCAGTGGTGACTAGGTGACCAGCCTCGTCTTTCCAGCTCCACCCATAAGGGAAAATACTTTCCCCAGTCAAGATTATGTCAAAGAACCACTTCTCATCTTGGTAGTTGCCTGGGCTTGCATACACCATTGCCAACGGTGCTGCTATGCCTGGCACTGCAGCCAGTACCATCGCATATTCCAGTCCCAGACTGGAGATGTGTGCTGCTGCCACTTCCTAGGGAATAGAGCAGGAAATTATTTGTTCTGCCAGATATTTCCTATTCCTGCTGCCTCCTTGTTCTGTTTAGGGGAGCAAAGCCTGTTAGCACCTTTCCTCATAAATCCTAATCCATGTTCCTGGCATGTCCAAGGTAAGGAAAGAGACAGGTCTTGCTATGAAGGCGCTGCCAGCTTTCCTTCCTCCCCCACGGGCTCTATTTCTTGTGGTATGACACAGCCAAAATCCCCTGAAGGAGAAGAGGGATGCTACACAGGCCATTTTCTCTTCCTCATGCACAGCCTGTACTTGAACAGCTGACATTATTTATCCTTGGGTACCCAGGAACACAAGTGACAACAGCTCTACCCTGGGCCATCCTCAGAAAGACAGTTTTCTCCCTCTTGTCTTGTGAAATAACTGTAGACCCAGTCCTTACATCTGCCTTGGGGTTTCCAGTCTTTTTCCTTCACTTAAACTCCAGGAAGCTCAAGTTGACACCTAGAGCTCATCAAAGGGCAGGTCACTGGGGCTAGGCCATCAACAAGGAGTTGGCTCCAATGAAGACAGCAGCCAACTGTGGGAAAAGTTCAGAGCTGAAGCCGGTGCTCAGTGCTGGGGCTTAGTTCAGCATCACCTTTTGTCAGATGAGCACAACTGCAGTAGCCAGAAAGCATGTTTCATCTCAAAAAAATTATAGAAAGAATAAAAAATAGAAAGCCAGAGAAAGAATCTTCTCTAGCCAATGTGCATGACTTCAGGCTGAGAACTGCCAACAGGATTCTTGTAACACCCCACTGCAAGGAGAAATCTCAGTTGTGTGCAGTGACTTTTCAGAAATAGGCTGGGAGGAGAGGTATGAGCCCTGCCAAGGGGAGAGAAAGGCAATACCTGAAGAACAGGGTGAAGAGCTACTGACTGAGACAAGTGTACCGTTGTGTGCAGTGATTTTTGGTATTTACTGAGGCAAAACTCACTGGGCCGTTAAAGGGATATTTTCCTTTGTAGGAAAGGAACAGGGTGTTTCTGGAGATTGTAGCAACCAGCCCATGGCACTTTCTTTTTACTTTTTATTGGTTTTCTTTCCTCTCCTCTCCTCTCCTCTCCTCTCCTCTCCTCTCCTCTCCTCTCCTCTCCCCTCCCCTCCCCTCCCCTCCCCTCCTCTCCTCTCCTCCTCTCTCTTCTCCGTTCCCTTCTTCTCTCTTTTCTTGTCTTCTTCTATCTCTTCTCTTCCACTTTCCCTTTCTCTCCCCCTCCCCCTCTTCCTCCCTCTTCCTCCTCCTTTTCCATTCTCTTCTTTTTTTCCATCATTTTTTAAATTCAGGCCAGAGCCAAACACCAAAGGAGTAAATGTTCTTCTTTTAATGGTGCTGATTTAGGGACCATCGTACCATCCAAGTCCTCCTACAAGTCTGCTTCCCACACCATACCAGCATTGCTGTGTTTCAAAGCGCGCCGTCCTGTGAACTGCTAAATGGATATGCAGCAACCAGCAGCAGTTGCTTTTCTTTTTCTTTTGTTTTATTTTAATTTTTATATTTATTTATTATTATTATTATTGTTATTATCAGTAGCCAAAGCAGCTCTTGGTCTATTACTCCCCCATTTAAAACTTGGGATGTAATCGAATTAGAGCGGTACCTGCTCCAGAGTCCATCCAAGGAAGTGGAAAGGCTCCTGGAGGAGTTTGGCTGGCTGTCCAGCAAAGCCCAGGATGCTGGGGGTGGTGTGGGAAAGGCTGGTGCTAACGAAAGCATTCTGGTTGCCAGCAAATGTATTTATTTTCCAGACTTTGCAAAACGATCTCTGTCTGCGCTCATTCATTCAGTGCATGCTCTCCTCAACAGCCGCTGCATAACTGTTCACTGTTGATCGTGTGTCTACATTTAAGCGTGTGTTTTATGTGTGTGTCTCTGGCTAGGCCTCCTCCATCCTTTTTTTTCCCTTTTCTTTCTTTTCTTCCTTTTTTTCTTTTCTTTCTGTTCAGTTAGCTTGGTTTGCTCTCTTTTTCTTTTTTTCATTTTCTATAGTTTAATGGCAAGTATTTCCATTAGATCTTTTTGACTAATGCTGTGTTTGTAACTTTTTTTTCAATTATTATTTTTATATATATCTTCTTTCCCCACCTTTCCCCTGTTCCACACTATATATAAATATATATATAAAAAAAATCTTTTCTTCTTTTGTCATTCAATCAAATTCCAACAAAACCAACCAAGAGCCAGTCAAATCCACCACAGTCTCGCGCTGAGCTAGGAAAAAAGTTCACGTAATGACATGAAAGTGGAGAATACAGTCCCCCAGGCCGTAAGTTCAAATCAACTCGAAGTTGAAAGTGTGACATGATGGCGTCATGTAACAAGCTAAGAATTGGTTGCATGACATGCCGTCAAGTTTCGTGCAGGTGCCGTGATTGAAGCATTTTTCTTGGATGTTGTATCAGTTGATGATTGGCCAGTCATGATCACATGTGCCTTTTTTGACTTTGTGCTGCCACAATTTTTTGCTGTGCTCATTTTCGTTTCGTTTTTGGTGCTTGCAGTGGTTTCTTTATTTGTTGTTTGATTTCTCGTCAGCGTTTTATGCTTCTTTAGATGTCACATAGAAAGAAAAAAAAAGATGGATTCCTAATTATTTAGAAAAAAAAAAAATGGGATTGTTGTAACTACAGATAATTTGGAAAAAAAAAAGAGAGAGAAAAAAATGCGTGGTTAATTTTTTTGCACTGGAAATCTTGTGATTAATTTTTTTTTCCGGAGAATTGGGGGCCTTTTTCAATTGACACCATTTTTTTTTCCCTTAGGATATTTCAAATCGCTCTCTAAAAATTAAAAAAAAAAAAAAGAAAAAAAGAGTAATGATAAGTAATGATAGTAACAGTAGTTTGAAAACTATAGCAATGCAAAAAAAGCAACCCCAAGAAAAGCCTCATTGTGTGTCTTTTCAAGAATTCCTAATTCTAAGGTTCCATATTACAGCAACTCCAGCCAAAATTAATTGTTCGGGGGAGGGAGGGATGGTTTTGAGTGGGAAAAAAACCCATACAGATCAAAAAGCAAAATGCATCTTTTTGTTTACAACTGAAAAAGGGTCCTTGACGAGTGTTTTTTATTTTTTTATTCTATTATTATTTTTGGTGTTGTAATTGTTTAGACTGCTGTGTACGGTTTGCTGTTTGTTGAACCAACAGTGTGAAAACCTGCCAGCATGGATTGATATTCCGCATGACACTTTTCCACCAGAGTGGACCTTTTGCAGTTTCTAAGTTTCTTGATGTAATAAATCACCAAGTGTATAAGAAGAACCTGCTTGCTAGAAAGAGATAAGAGCTAATCCTTAATGATTAAGCATCCTACTTAAATGTCAAGCCTAGTCGGATCATGATTACATTTTTTTTAAATAACTTTTTTATTTAAGAAATGTTAGCTTTACTTTTTTTTTAAAAAAAAAAGTTTATTCCAACAGTCTTCTTTTTATTTAACCTCCTATAAATTGCCTGTTCAAAGTCTTACTTTCTGACATTCACAAAGGAGTAGATGTTATTGGCAGCTATGTCTCCACAGAAAGCTCATACACTGTCATAGATGGCACCCATTAAAATGTAGAAGAATTCTTTGTCAATGCCTTTCACACTGCAAAAGCTCACCGAGTGAGATTGTGATCTGGCATTGTAAAGTATCACTTAAAAATAATTAAAATGCAGCTATCTGCACATACAGATTTAAGTAGACATACCCTACTATTGATTTATTATTGTCATTACAATTATTAGGAACAATTGTATTTTTCTCTATCATGATCGTGACTACCTTGCTCACTTCGGGTTTGATCCAGTTCTCACTGAAGTCAAGGGGAATCTTTCTGTTGACGTTGAGTGGGAGCAGAATCAGAGCCAATGCCTTCGAAAGCAAAACACCAAACCAGATGCCCCATCCTGTCCCAATTGAAGGGAGAAGAAAACATCCATGACTTTCAAAAGGAGCAGGATTGGGCCCAAAAGAACAGGCTTGTTTAAAATTTCATTTTCATTTTAGGTCTTTTTTCCCCCAGTTCCAAATATCCCCCCTCCTTCCCTACTTCCTCCTCCTCTTTTTGATTTAATTTGCAATGATCTGCTTCATTTTTTAGGGCAGCAGCTGAATGGGCTACATTTAGAAAAAAAAAAAAGTATATATATATTAAAAAAAAACAGGAACTGTTGGATTACACCTTTGACATATCAGCAAATATCAATCAAGCTGAAGACTTCAGAATTATTCTCTCTTTGATTGTTTAGACTGTAACATTTCTTCAAGGAAAGTATCACATCTGCTGACTTCGAAGGACATGCGCTTGAAAACAAACAAACAAATACATAAGTAAAATCAGAACAGGATCAAGATCAACCAGGATTTCTGAAGAGACACTGATATCACCACAGCGGCTTTTCTTCAAACAGGAGATGCAAACCTGGATACTGGCAAAGGAGTGCCTGTTTGCCACCAAGGATGCGGTTATCATGTGTGACCCATGGTAACAGTCACTGAGCATCTTTATCTGTCATTCCTTAGCTATATGGGGACCAAAGGACAAAACTTTTTACCGCAGACTTGTAGCTGTATGTAAAATATGGAAGTTCTTTCCTTTTCTCTGAGCTGTTCCTAAAACAGTTTTTGAGAGCGATTATAAGAAATATGTAAAAATTAAAAAAAAAAATAATAATAACGCTTAAATGCTTTTAAAACGGCAAGATAATAGTTCTTTGATACTTTGGGAGGTTCTTTGGTTATACATTAATTAGAGTCTATGAAGCTTTCATATGGTTTTCTGTATAATACGTAAGGATTGCGCTGTTAAAGGCAGGTAAGATGGATATCTATGAAAAGCAAAAAAGTAAATAAATAAATACATAAATAAATACATTAAAAGGCATAGAGAAGAGAAAGGAAAGATGGTTGATATTAAATGGAAAACAAAAAAAGGTTTGTAAATGCTTCTAACTCTCCCCATTTAAAATCCTAATAGTTGTACAGAATTTAAAAAAAGAAAGTTTAAAATACCTATATAATAGAAAAAATTAGACAACATAAAAAGAAAAAAATAAAAAAAGCAAAAAAAAAAATAACTACATAGAAGTTAGCGTTAATGCTAAAAACAAAGATGTTGTAGAACTGTAATTTTTTGTAGAGTTTAGATTGAGCATAAATTCCTACTCTCTGCCAATTGCTGTTGGATGCTGTTATTTATCGAGGAGAAAGAGGAGAGAAATGGCTATTTTGGCAGCTTTTTTAACTGCGAGCATTCCAGCTATTAAAAAAAAATAAACGAAACGAAACTCAATTCTGTAGACAATGCAAATGGGAAAAAAAGAAAAAAAAAAAAACAGCTGTCTTTTTATCAGACGTTAGTTCTAACTTGAACAATGAAACACAGCTAAACGCTTCATGTCTTCATGATCTGCTGTCCGCAAAATTCCCATCATCCTATGCTTTAGTAGCTTCCATATTTGCTCTAGAAACCTTCAGGGCAAGGTGTTAGCCTAGAACCTTAATCTTAAAAAATAAAAATAAAAAAAGAATAAAAAAAATAAAAAAGAAAAAATAAACAAAAAAAAACATAAGGAAACAATCTCTTTGAAGAACTTCTGAAACTGTTTACAAGGAATTTTGAAAAAACAGGGGGATGTTTAAAAAAAATAAAGATGCTGGCTCTGTTTCTCTGTAAATAAATTTGCATATTTTGTAGGACTTTTAATTGTAATGATAGAGAAAAACAAGGAAAACTATTTAATGAAAGCACGATATTTATCTTTGGTAAATGACTTTAGAGCAGTTAAAAAATAAGACATTGCTTTAAAAAATCTGACTCAGAAAAACAATGAATTATTTAAGAACACATATATTTTAAAGTATATCATATTTATTATAATTTATTTTCACAGTCTTAAAACTTGATTTACATCATTCTCACACTTGTTGCATTGATTGAGCAGTGTGATAATTGTTTCTGATCCTTTATATGGTTTTACTGTTTTAATGTTCTTGTTTGGTTTCCTTACTGTTTTTTATCTTGATCTCAAACTTTCTTCCTTTCTCTTTTTTTTTTTTTTTTTTTTAATTTTGTTATTTTTATTTTAATTTTAATTCCCTAACGGGCCTCATCTTACGAGTCCTTCTCCTGTCAGAACTCCCATGGGGATTTAGAGGGTTTTCTACATGAGTAAGAACTCAGTCAGACTGAGCCCACAGCTAGGAAGTACAGATGTGTAACGCAGCTGCAGTTCCATACAACTGCTCTTTCACTCTCAATTCCCTAAAACTCCTTGTAATCTTCTGTAATTATTGAATGACGCTTTCCAGCTTAGCCCTAAATAAAGCACAGTTTAAAAAAAAAAAAAAAAAAAAGGCATGTTCTTTACTTCTTGATGGCTTTCCTTAATGTGTTTGCTTTGAGAACAAAATGAATCTATTTCAACTCTTTCATTAATATACATTGTTTGAGTATCAGAACAAATCCCTTTGTTATATGAAACGTATCTCATTGGATTGAATTAATGGCACTGTTTCATTTAACATCTGCTTGATATTCCACTGTGGTTTACCTTAAACCTAGTAGGTTAGAAGATCAAATAACGGTACATAGAAATTAGAGTCATTGTAGCTCCCATTTGAAGCCTGTTGTTTGATTTCACACTCATGGTTTTTTCATGCTGATAAGTATAGAGGCCAAAGCTCGGGACATTGCTCCTTTTGCTGCTCTGGGAATACCTTGTGAAATTCAGCAGTCTCCAGAGATGAGGTTCAATTTCTTCCTGAGCATCCCTCACATCTTGTCTTTTGAATGATTATATTTCTCCCCCGCTCCCCAAATGGCTGTACCAGATGAGCTGAGCTGAGGCTGAAAGCTGAAGCCTTTGCCTTTTCTTCCTGATTCTTGCAGCCACATCTGCATTTGGACAAGTTGCACCAGCTAAATCCATCTCTAAATGGGGCTAATGGTGCTTGTCCATAATTTGAACTCCACAGATGGAAGGAGTTCTATTAGTAGAAACTCCTATTATTACTATTATGAGTTACTAATGTCTGTTCAGGGCTATAGAAATAAATGAAATGTGAATCAGGTGGTGAATACAAGGAGATAATATGGTCAGTATTTTCTTTTCATCTGAAGGTAAAGGCAAATACAGAAAAGCATACATACACCCCAACCCCATCTCTGACTTTTGGTATCTTTGTTTTTCGGCAGACAAGATGCTCTGGAGAGGGCTGAGTAGGCTAAAGATGCGGGAATTGACCTCAAATGTAACTGAGCTAGAAAATTAGGGTTAAGTCTCTAGTAAGAAGAGTTTTCTGCTCCAAAGGCCATTCAGTGGCCTGCCCTGAGCTGTGGGGATGAAGAGAACAGAGACACATTCTCTGACTGGGCTGGGTTGAGAATTAAGGTGGAGCTGGAGAAGATCACCCTCTGAAGATGGAACACCCCACAACAAATTGGGAAGGCTCTATTTCCCACAGTGGCACAGCAAACGTACCATTAGAAGGTGCTGCCTAATCCCTCCCCGTTTCTCAGGCTGCCCTCCCCACTTTCCCTTGTGACTCTCACGCTTTCCAGAGCCCTTCCTTGCCTGCTTTGAGGTAGATGCTATGTCTCTGCAGTGGATTTGGGACTGTGAGGTATATCCTGATGCATCTGCAAGGACACGGCCATAAAGCCTGAGTAGGATGCGCTGCATCCCTGGGGCATCCAGCTGGGTACACTTCTGGCCGCTGGGACACAGCTGGGGGCTGGGGGCTGATGACTGTGAGACAAGATTTCAGAGTCTTGTTCCAGGTACCCTTCAATACACAGAAGACAAAATACCCAGTGCAGGGGAGAAACCATCTCCAAAGAGGAGGTTAGAAAATACCATTAAAGCTGCCTTTATGGCACAGGTCGGTACCCCAAAAAATAACTGACTTTGCAGAAACGCCACTGGGGTTACTGAATTGGGGAATCTGACTATGGGGACCAGTGGGGACAGCCAGGAGGGAGCATGCATGGCTTTCACCTTTCTCCCAACACTTCCCCATGAATTGAAATGCAAGCTCTAAGAGAGGGTATATCTCCAAGTCCAGTCCCTAAAAACAGAGTGGGACTGCTGTTAGCCCATTGGAGGTTCTTTTACACTGGTGTGCTGGAGAATAAAGCAGTGCTGTGACCACGCTGCTGCCTGAACATGTTTGCCACACTCAAAACTCTGTTTATGGTAGACACATGGACCAGAACATGGTGTGCTGAAGCACAAATGTAGATATGGTCTTATGGTTGGTTTAAGCACCCTTCTCTGGGCTGTACAAACATATCAGCCCTGTTCTAAGATTTAACTGCTTGTCATACGGATAATCCATGCTCCTTACCAAAGAAAGTTCACCCCTTTACACTATAGGTGCCGTAAAGCAAAGCAATAGGCCCATTTCAACATGGGACTGTACCTGCAGGGCCAAGCAGCAGCCAAGGAAAACCTTAAGTCCTAAGTAATGAAAATGAAGAAAGAAGCCAAGCCAACCTGAAAGCCTGTAGCTGCCTGCCCATGTGCACCAGGATACAGCAGACTGGGCACCACACTCTATTACAGAGGTTCTAAAGCCACTAGCTGGCTGATGCTGGCTCCTGTCTTTTATCTGAGGCGGGTAAATCACATTACATGAAACTAAAGGTTTATTAAAGGTCAAACATCCATCCTTCGCCACAGCAGTCCTTGGCATCAGTATGATTACAGTAAACTGCAATCCCATCCCCTTGAATAGCTGGGGGCAACCTTTGGTACAAGTACACGGCATGGTTTACAGTCATTCTTTCTGGAGTCCCATGGAGACATCTCAGACACTAATCACATTTTTATGTCTCTAAGAAAGCTGTAAATGCCTTCCTTGAGTCACTCCTTCATATCACCATTTACTGACATAGCCACTCTTTCTTTGCACAAACACAAGAGGAAAAAATTCCTCTCCCCACTTCCACCCCATCCCCACTCCAGGCAGGTGTCCATGAGACAGGTTTCTTTTATTACAAGATGATCTGAGCTCTGTCTGTTTTCCCTTCACGTATCTAATATTGTGATACCACTCAGAAATGTCCTTGTGAAGCAAGGCGAGGACTTTTATTCCTTGAATATTCCTGTTTCCAACAACATACTTGTTCCAATCCCAAATACACCAGGGCAGTGACCACCCCATGGGTCTAGAAGCATGTGCAGTGCTCACGTTTGTGTTCCCAGGAAGAACTCACACATCACAGAGGGTTGGCAGATGGGGATATGCACATCACTGGGTGCTTCAGAGCAGACACTACCCAAGCAGCTGGTGCAAGCTTGTGCACAGAATCACTTGGAAAAGGAAGCTGCTGATGCTGTGGCCTAGGAAAGTCTCTTAACGAACTTCATTTGAAACTACCTGGCTTTTCCTACCGCTTCAGAGTTAATGAAACAGGAACAGGCCACAGTCTCAAGTCAGCCTGCTGCAGAGTCTGAAAATGCCTTTTGGAGTAACACTGCTGTCCTACTTCTTGATTAAAATCTGTTGAGAGAAACAGATTTTCAATCACACAGCTTCCTTCTCATGACAGTAAGCCCAACAGAGCAAACACATCCCAGGAAAATATTCAGAAGGTGCCAAATCAGAGCCCTTGCTCTCCATTTATTAAGGGAATGAGATCACTCCAATGTCTCATAGAAACAGAATCAGCAAAGGCTTGGGTTGGAAGGGACCTTTAAAGGTCATTTAGTCCAAGCCCCCTGCATGGGCAGGGACACCTACTAGACCAGGTTGCACAAACCCCTGTCCCTTTGCACACTTGCACTCACCACTGCTATTGTAGATGCTTTCATTATTGCCCATCCAACCTTAAACATACCCGATACAGCAATGTTTCTGGTAAACACACACTGGTTCTGGTGGAAAGAAACACCTTGGGAGCACAAATCCTCTGACCAGGGCATTCATAAACCATTCTGAATTCTGGGTCTCAGTCTGATAAGTTCTGAACTTGGCACAGGCCACCTCAAGTCTGGGGAAGGAGGTTCCTTGTACACATACAGGTAAGCATTCCCTCTTCTTGTAAGCTGCACCCTCATGGTGTGCAAAGAATTCACATGAAATATGATGAGCATAGGTTCAGATTCTCCTTTGGCCAGCTGGAGGAAGGGATTTGTCCCCTGAGACTCCCATGACATAGAAGCTGGCCCTGATTATACAGCTGCAGAGCAGCCCAGATATGTATTCACAACTCCTCATTTGGTTTAAAAGGTGGAAATAGAAATGGAAACTGAGAGTGAAGGGCTCCATAACCTCTCCTAAGAGAATTAGGCTCCTAACAGTGGTCCCATGAATATGCATCACACAGGCGACCTTGAAGGAGCAAAGAACAGCGGAGTCCCCCCATTGGTACACCTTAGCCTGCTGCTCATGGCACTCTCCTGGGATGTATGCATTGCTGGGTGTCAGCTATTGCTTTTAGCTGTTAAAAAGAAGAGATATAACACACAAGTCTGTAGGCAGCTGGTGAGTGGGTGAGCTAACTCTCCCCAGTGGAGAGCCACAGCATGGCATCCCAAAAATGGGAACCTCTCCTCCTGGGAGAGACAGAGGCCCTAAACTTTTCCTCATCCTTTGAGGCACATCGGATCATGTGTTTCACTTTTCCATACTTAGCGCAGAGAATACAATTACCTAATTCAGTGTTGTGAGTCCTAGCAAATAGCAAAGCACTCACAAATTAGGCGTGATGACTGTGACGCCTCCTTTGTGAGTCCCTCCTCCAGAGGGTAAGGGAGACGATTCCAGTTCAGTGAGCTACAGAACAGACTCCAAAACTGGAACAGTTGTCAGAAGGCACATTGTACACAGATCCTCCTACCACCTCCTACAAGGAAAGATTAACTTCTTTCAGCTAGAACAAAGAGCTATTAAGTGAGACAATGGTCCTTGCTGTATTGGTGAGCCATCTGTCATCAAGTGCTAGATATTTGCAATAGCTTTTTTAAGCCAAGCCAAGAGAAGCCCCAGCCACTGTTACAATGGCATATAAACACAGAAGAAAAGTGTCAGCCCAATGTTTTTTTTGTTTTAACTCCTTCTCCTCGGTCTGCTCTGTTATTGTTGCTTTCTGTGGCAATCACAGCACGCTCTATTTCTCTAATTTAGCACAATAATCATCAAGCTAGCACTTTGTATCACGTTTCATACAAGTGCACTAGAGTTGGCTCTGGGGAGCCGCCTGGTTTGTTTTGAGGGTAGGTGACCAGAGGACTGATGACAAAGAGATATTCTCCCAGCCCCAAGGGACAGCTATCCAGAACATCTGTGTTAGCTTTCCACAGCCCAAATGCCAAAGACATGGGGGGTCTGAGTCCCTGTGAGCACTTCTG